CAGAAAAAGATTTCTTTTGGAAGTCTGAAGTAACCTTTCACAAAAAAAAAAAAAAAATTAATGTCCTTAATCGGGATCTTTAAAAAATAGTTTGATGTGCTTGCGAGGGCCCTTAACCGATATGGTAAAGTGTTTAAGAACCACTACAACCCTTGGCTCAGCCAATCAATCAATGAAATGACCTTTAAGGCATCTTACTTTGACCCCTTTTGCGATGCTCTAAAATTTAGAGCAGAATACGATGCTGAGCTGATATTTGGTATTTGTCCTTTTTCGAGAAAACTCATGACAACTTTAAGAATGAGTGACAACTGTCAGTATTATTCTACATTTAATACGCTCTCAACCACTCTAGATAATGTATTCAAACTTTCTGCTTTGCCTTTGTCCGTGGAAACAAATGTAAACTCAATTAGTATGAGTTTTTAGCTATGTGTCAAGGTACGAAGTATGATGTGACGCCCATCAATACGAGCAAGAAAAAAAATCTCTTTCAAATTTTGATCGAAAAGTATACAATTAGTTCGGGTAATTCAAGTCCTAACTGTCTTCTAGTCGCCATTAATTGGTCAACACATTGTGACGGCATAGAAATTTTACACAAGTCTCCCGAGCTACTAAAGGCATTTCATAACGTCAAGAAAAACATGCAAATTTATAGCCTTACTTTAAAAATGAACAGTGAAGCTTTGCGAATTATTGATAATCCTAACAATTTCCAAACCGTATTGCCGGTTATTGCACCTCCAGCAAGACTGTTTCTGAAAACTGAAGATCGGGTGTCTAAACCCAGGCATGCAGCAACTATGCATTGTCTTTGTGGTAAACGGGATTGGTTTACACAGAAAAATAAAAAGAATAAAAATAAAAACAGGGAATAAGTTAGATATCCAGTGTGGTTTTATTCCAGGTTAAAGGTTAAAAATAAACTGAAAGGAAAACTATCTATCTAGAAAGTGTCCAATTTATATGAATTGTTAGATGGTAATGATTTATGATTGTGATAAGCTGTTACTTGCTTATCACTATCTTATGCTTGAGAAACTATATTCTGTGGTTGTTACACAGAAAAATGGCTGTCTATCTTTTATGATTACAGCAGGTATATTTGGGTTTGAAGATACTCTGTGAGGTAACACAGAGTTTTCTTTCACAGCCGCGGACTCGGTAGTGGAATTCCGCAACATGTTGCGGAATTCCGCGACACGTTGCGGAAAGACGCAACATGGTGGATAAAATACGCAACCATCGGAATATAATTTTTTTATTTAATTTTTTTTTTTCCTTTCCTATTTTTAAATTTTTTTCTTTTACTAGCATTGCCAAATAACACATTGCCAATTAACACATCAGATTGAATAAAATAGTAATCACTCCATTAGATGAATTGTTGAAGAGAGTTTAATTATAATAAAACTTGTCTACGCAAAAGAGAGAAAGATACGACCAACTTACAAATCAGCTAAAGAACCAGCAGGAAGATGATTAACCTTGTCAGTATATTTAATGTACGGCCAAACAACCTTGAAAAAGTTAGCGGAATCGGAATACCGTACAAGACCAACCACTTGGAGAATGTCTGTAATGGAGATAACAGCGTACTTCTTGTATCTGTCACCCCTGGAATTCCGAGCAACTGTCACAACATTGTGAGCGTCGAATTGCTGCTGCTTCATTACTTCAACGATAGCCAAAAAGTTTTCTTCACCTTCTTGCTTGTGTGTAAAGTAGCAGTGAACCACACCGACAAACCAAATGGAAATAGATCTAAATTTTATGCTGTAAGTACCAATAAAGTTTGTCAAATGTCTTTTGCTTACCTGTGACCAGTACTTTTGGGAGCCTTAAACAGGACAATATTATTTGCTCTTGTCTTTAAGTTTTTCAAGGTTATGTCCATTATTGAAGAAAATACCAAGTCATCGTTCCAAGCTCGACTTGCAATCACAATGGATGACGAGGTCAATTGCTCGATTTCATCCCCAACCTTATGATCATAATATGATATCAATGCATCAATCACCTTCGATCTCGGGACACCGAAGCATATTTCTTCCGAATCTGATCCAAGCAAAGACTGAGGAATAAACGGACACCAGACTTGGGCACCAGAGGAATGCGAACGGTAGGTGTCTGGACGATCCGTAGATTCAGGGAATTGAATAGACTGCAGACATCTAACCGCCATCTTGTTATAATTCGCCTGGTGACGAAGGACGTTCGAAGCATTTGCCCCTATAAGATGCGTGGACTTGATTAAGTTGGTGAACTTCTTAATTGTCCGCTCCATTGGTCGGCAAGAGTAGCATTTTAATGGCCCCATCTGTTCAACCAAATACGGCAGATGCATCAGATAATGGTTATTTGCTGTGAACACTCGCGCATTGATACGACTTGCAACAATCTCTCGATTCAAAAACGCATGCCAACTACTAAAACATCTAAATGTTTGCGTTAATGTCTAATTTTTAATATCTAGTCTCTGATTGTCATGTTACCCTTTCATTTTTGTAATGTCCCTACGAGAAATGCGCCACTGCAAAGCAATAGAACATCCCTCCACCAATTCCATCAACGCACATTTGGTTTCATTGTTCTGGACCAATGGAAGTACAATGGTTGGGACAATGTACAAGAGAAAGTCTAAATAATCGACAGCTCTTCCGATACCTACACCGCCATCTCAAGTTCCCTCAAAAGCTGATGGTATGTAAACCCTGCTCTGCTTCACCTTTTCGTCAATCTTTTTGATGATAGTGTCATCACGTGCGTTCAAACCAAAGGTATATTGTGCATCTTGAGTGATGAATTCACGGAACTTTTTGTTTTTCTTGGGATCCAAAAGATTATACACCAAAGTACCAAGCCCTCTACCAATCAAATGCATCTCGTCGCCAAGAAAAAAAGATGTACCAGTGAAGGTGGAAAGAGAGCTAATAACAGGATCAACACCAAGCATATCGAATAGCTAATTCATACTGCGTTTAGTATCTTAAAAATATTGGTGCACACTTTGAATAATTTACCGCATCGCCGTTGACTAATTCGTCTTTGGTTCTCATGTCACCTGCATCCAAGAAGTACATACCGTAACGGCAACCTTCAGGATGTCTGCCAGCAATTTTGCAAATTCTGCAGCCATATTTGCTCGTGTGTCCACGATGATTCATTAAATCAGCAATTCCTGGAATATCACCAGTCATTCCGAGCAAGAATACTTTACTTTGGTGCACGATTTCATTGTTTTTTTCAACGACGAATCCTCTTGCACACAACGAATTGATTTCCTCGATGATTGGCGTCAAAAAACTCATCAAATACTTGGGCTTTTTTGGGCCAGGTAAAATAGCCAGTGGAATCATCATCGACTCCTTTGCTCTAACAACGAAAAGGTAAGTTTGATTAAGATAACATATACAAGTAAATTTAATTTCTAAACCTTTTAGAAGCAGGAATGTTCATCACCATGCAATGGACCAACGTTTGAGAGCTTCCAGGTTTGGATTTGTTGGGAAACCCATCAACGTAAAGAACAAGGCAGATGTCTTTGCGTGTGAGCAAATTTTGACGAAGAAATTCTTTGTACACCGAACCGGAAAACATGTCAATGTAGACGCCATCTTCATCATACTCGCTGAATTGGCTTGCGTACTTGAAGTCTTCACGGATTTCGTCGTCGACCAGTAGTTCCGCAAGTGAAGCCCCGACAGAAGACATAGCCATGGTTTGGAAGGCTTTGGGAGGTGAAATGTCGCCAGCACGGATTGATTCCTCAGCTTCATTTTGGTTTTTGTATCGCCCTTCACCACAAGCAGGGTTGATACAATGTGATTGCTGCACGTTATCATCAAAAAGAAAACATCCTTCGCGACACACATCATACATTTTCACAGAATTAATGCTGCCTTTATCAAGTAATCTATGAATAGCCTCTGGAGAAGGAAGTAACCCGCCCAAGTCTAAATTGCAATTAGTATGAAAGGAAGTCTGTGAGTCAATATTTAATTTACCTGAGACAGCAACAGGATCAATGTAGGAAAGAAGGTTTCCATTGACATGCTTTACGACATCACGCTGGACCTGTCTTGAAACACCGTTATGGTCAAGAAGCTTAATTAAGCCTATGCCAAACTTTTGGATTATGTTCCAGTTGTAATCGTGGTCAAAGTGCTTGTATCTGATCGCATCTTCGAACATGAAAGCATCATCGCGTGCTAGTTATTGTAGCAATACATTGTAAGTTAGAAATTCGTTACTATGATTTTAATTATTATTACCTGCAGCTTCTTCCATTACAGTATCATCGTCCGCATACTGCTCATCAAGATTTTGGACGGAAGTAAGCTCTTCTTCAGCATCATCTTGTGTATTGGTATTGATATTGTTCATTCCACTTCTTACTGCAAACAAATGGCATTTTACTCTTCGTTGATGCTCGACCATTCGAGCATGGTTTTCAAAAAGACTGTCGCAATAGCTGCATGTAAAGTTACGTGATGAAATCATGGAATTAAATCGAGGGAAGTGTTAAAGAAAGATGCCGTAATCTAATCCCAACATAAAGTATTTAACGCAGTTGCATTAACCACTAGATCCAATTTTGAATCCCAGACAGCTGTCATTACGTATTGCAACTAGTGCTAATTTTTTTTATATAGTGGCATGGATTATATCATGGATATGATGTAAAAACCATGACGTACAAGAATATGGAGAATATATATATAGCGCGTTTTTCCTGACAAAGCGGTTTTCATCAATCTACATCATAAAATAATTTGAAAATGCCCGCATATAACACAAATGACATGGTTCGTACCATCATCGAACTTCAAAAGCTAGTATTTGATTTGCAAACCGAAATCCGATCCAACCACTCCCAGGTAAACGATCGTCTTGACGCCATGGAAGAACGGTTGATTGGAGGGAGCGTGACTGACATGACACCGAGAAGAGGTAATCATAACATGGCATTGGTATACTTTGACATACAACTAACACGTTTTTATAACAGTCGATCAGATGACCGAGCAATCGGCTGTCAGAAGTATCGCTCGTTTTCCTGGAGGTAAAAAGCCTGACACTGGTATTGTAACCGAAAAGGGTAAACCTAATAGGATTAGTGACAGAGAGGCACTCTGGGAGTTCTTGTTGTGTGTTCGACCTGATTTATGTCATACACCTGAGGAAAGTCAAGAAGAAATTGAAATGAAGAACGTGGAATTGAAATCCTTGTATGGTGTATTGAGGGATTATGCTAAATCATGCATCACACAATTGAAGGCAGAGGTCCAGTCAGACCCAGTTCTTAGCATAAAGACATGGGGTATGCATTCCCGTGAGCTCAAGATGAAGTATATCCTTGCTTTGGAAGCGCTGGCCAGAAGAGGTAAGATAGGTTTGGATCAATGCTTGGATCACTGGGGAGCTGAAAGACTGCTGGCTAGTGTTGCTCACAACACATTGGGAGATAAGGTACGTACATTATAAAAAAGGAAGTTCGTTAATTGTTAAGCAACTAATGTAATTTTTGTTTTGCAGAGAGTGTCGAAAAAGAAGTCAAGCTCTTTGTCCGATGATGAAGAGATCATCCCTCCTGGTCTCGGACTAGAGCAACCAGAGAGTTTCTCTATACCCAATGAAGAGCAGTCTGGTAGAGAAAATGATGATGTGTCTTTGGAAAAAGATACTCCATTAGCCAGACGTGGTCGCAAAAGAAGGGTTGTCAATAATTAAAGAATCTTTTAGGCTAATTCGCACTTTTAATAATTTCATATAAATAAAAAACTTGCGGATGACAATTTTTCTGCCTTTCTTTCCTGTTTGTATTTTTTTTTTTGTAGCCAAAATTTTTTTATTTTGTAAGTACTGTCCTTCATGTAGTAGTAGACAATACTAAAATATATACCGTAAAT